CAGAGGGGAAGGGAGAGGGAGAGAGAGATAGAAACATCAATGGTGAGAGAGAATCATTGATCGGCTGCCCCCTGCACACCTCACACTGGGGATCGAGCCCGAAACTCAGGCATATGCCCTGACGGGGACTTGAACTGTGACCTCCTGGTTCATAGGTCGATGCTCAACCGCTGAGCCATGCCAGTTAGGCTCATTTCTTGTTACATCTCCAAATTAGCCTAACTTTGGCTCGTTGGGAGATGTAACAAGAAAAGAAAAATCAACTCTAACTTTGATATTTTTCTCACTCTTGAACTTTTGTTAGCAATAATATCCACACTAATAAAAGACAAAGATGCTAATTGACCATACCTTCACTACGCCCACCAAACAATCAGAAGAGTATGCAAATTAACCCATTAAATTTGCATACTGCAGGTGACCCAGTGAGGGAGCAAAGCAACGGAGAAGGGAGAGAGCCGAGGCAGCAGAGAAGGGAGGGAGCCGAGGGTGAAGCAGCTAAGGGAGGGAGCGAGGCAGCGGAGAAAGGAGCAAAGCCTGCCTCGGTGGGCTTCGCTCCCTTCTCTGCTCCCCTCCAGTCTCAGGAAGCCCTATTCTTGCAGGAATAGGCCCGAGGAAGCCCTATTCTTGCAGGAATCTTCCTACAACGGACCTCTAGTGGGGATATAAGAGTAAAACTAGCCACCAGAGAGGGTGTTTATTTTTCTTGAATTGAAACTGAATGTAGAAGAATGGGAAAATGTATTCAGTTAATAACTTATGCTTATTCAGTGGGATATTGGGACTAAAACCATGGAAGGAAGAATCCTGGAAAGAAGCATGATTGTTCCATGTTATGCTGGCTACTTCACATCAGAGCCAGGCATATAACTCCAGGACCCATTGTTTCACAGAAACAAGTGAACAATTTGTTTTTCTTTCTTGTTCATTACAAGGAGGTGCCTTTTATTTCCTGTAAAAAGACAAAGATAGTGGTAATTTTCATAACAAAATTGAGTGCTTACGTATATGGTATATTAAAAGTACTACTAAGTTAAATTTTATCAATTCTCTCAGTTCTGTGAGTTTATTACAGTTCCTTGGATGAAACACTTGGTAGGAAGCGTTATTCGTGTATTAATAGATTACATGGATTATATCCCTCTGTGTGATAAACTGAAGTCTGCCCTGGAAGTACAGAGAGAATGGCCAGAAATCCGTCAAATACTAGGTAAAAACAAGTTTTGCCCTCAAAACTTTTTATGAAAAATGTCTATAGGGGAAATTTCTCAATGTTATCTTTGATACTTTTTTCAGTGCTACTTTATTTTCACTGTTTTTGAAAGTCACCCTTACTACTTCCTCTGATTTAAGGTACTAATATTGTTTTGCTTTTCTTAATACTTTCTAACTCTTTGATTGTATAATAGGTAATATTATAAGTATATTAACATCCTAAATAGAACTCACTTTTTAAAGTTAACTTCTAGACTATCATAAAGTATGTAGACTGTAATCTCCATATGGGCAGGAATCTGTTTTGTTTATTTTTATATTCTCAAGGCTTAGCATAATTCCTAGTAAGTGCTAAATAGTCAATGAATACTGAGTAACTGAATGAACGGTGTGCATTAGAATTATCCTTTTTGATACGCTCTCTCTCTGGTCTTTATTGACACATTCCTACCATCAAATGTTTTTATTTTAGACAGGCTACTTTGCGTTCTCGAGGTTAAAGTTTAGTTATAAATGTGAATTACATTACAAATGTTTCAATAAAATGGCATTTAAAGCTAATTCAAATACATATAGAACCTAGAAAAAATAACAAATTGGAGAGGTTTTCTCTTTCAAAATATGATTTGGAAAAATGAACTCCCAAAGCTACTTGGACATCAGTTGCATGGAGCCTAAAGAAGCATCATAGAACTTTACGTCACGTGCATATAATCTGGCACTCTTAATAAACCCAAATCATCCATGAATGGATTAACAAAACCTCAACAACTAATTCTTTAGGATCAGGCAAATTTTAGGTAGATTATATTTTTCAGTCAATAAGATAAAACTTAAATGTTGAGCTGATTTACATATCAAATTTGTTAGGTATAAAGTTCTATAAAAAGAAATATGCGTGATAAAGTAGTTTTCATTTAAACAGTTAGTTTCAATCAGAGTCTCACACATGAAATGAATTCACCTGAGTTTTTTGAGGGAAGGATGGAGACTTTGGCTAGAAAGATTGATAGTTCAAATGCAGATTTGGAGGTAAGCTTGGATTTTCTCAAATGACTTGCCCTTGAATGAGTTCTACAATAGAAGAGACTTTGTGGGAACTAAAATTGGAATCTTAGAGCATTGATGAGTAATGCAGTATGTGAGCCTAGAAATTGACCTCTGGGGATAGATGGACCTAGGATGGCATAAAATTCTGGCCTTATCCAGGAGCAGGATTGCTGAGTTGTATGTCATTCAGGGCTGATATTTTCATGGAAACAAACAATTTGTCGTACCATTCCTTTTTCATTGAAGAGAGGGGAATTTTTTATTTTCTGAAAAAAAAAAACACCAAAATAGCATACTAGCCATGTGATTTTGAGAAAGTTACCTACCCTTTTTAGGCCAAGGTTTTCCCACTGCAAAATGGGGCTAGGATAGTAGCTACCTCATAAGGTTGTTGTGGGAACTTAAAGAGATGATGCATGGCCTGGCTGGTATGGCTCTGTGGTTGAATGTTGACCTCTGAACCAGGAGGTCACAGTTCGATTCCCAGTCAGGGCCCATGCCCAGGTTGCAGGCTCAGTCCCCAGTATGGGGTGTGCAGGAAGCAGCCGATCGATGATTCTTTCTCATCATTCACATTTCTATCTCTCTCTCCCTCTCCCTTCTTCTTTGAAATCAATAAAAATATTTTTTAAAAAATAAATAAAGAGATGATGCATGTAAGGTGCTTAGCATACTAAGTAGAACATTAAAACACAATAAATTTAGCTATTTTATAAACTACAATATTAGTGTTTTTATATTATTTTTGTTATACATAAGTCTATGTGAAGTATGAAATGCACATGCAAAGTATGTCACGAAATCCTCACAACTTGTAGAGCTGTGTGCTGTCATGCTGATTTTCATCAATAAAACACTGAGGCTAAAGGGGATTATATAACAGTCTGGACCCTGTGAATTCAGGAAACTGGGCTGACAGTCCAGCCTTTCTGAACTGGGCCCACAATGGGATAACCACGAAATCAAGCAGGATGGAGATAAGAGAGGTCCACATGAGTGGGGTGCAAGCAAAACCGGGAAACCTCAGAGAGCAGGACACTGGCCGCATTGAGGATCATTGCAAGAAGGCGACAGAGTAGGAAGCTCCGTTAACTTCAAAGAGCTATCTGGAGCCTAGCTTCCTTCCAGAAATTCGGGAAAACTAAATTCCCATAAAAAATGAGCAACAGAAAAGTATCACAGTCAAACCTCATATAAATTTATTATAAGAAAAATATAAATAGACATGTCAAATTTTCAAAAATATTGTCAATTGTCAATACTATAGTGCAGGGCAAGCATGTCAAACTCGTGGCCCGCGGGCCACATGTGACCCACAATGAATATTTTTGCAGCTTAGCCAATATAACGGTATGTAAGAAATGTTTTAATAAAAATTTCATCACTTAATTTTTACAATATCCTGTTATACATAATTAATAACAAACTACAACAGTCACTAATGTCTGATTACTATAATCATGTTGCATTCCTTTCCTTTACGTGCCTTACACACAGGCACACCATTTCTCTCCACTAGTAATTTTGGTGTGTGCAACAGGAAATATTTTGCTTTTGGAGAACAAGGAAAATGGGTTTATTTGCATTATGCTTATTAATTTGTGCAGTTATTCAGTGTCTGATAAGTTAATGTTCAAGAAAACATTAATTTTTATTAAAATGTTCTATTATTTTATATTAACAATCACTCATTTATTTCAGCCCTTTGTATTCAGCATGTCTCTATTGAAATAAATATACATTTCTATGAAAATTGAAGCTTTTGTTTTGTTGTGGCCCACATAAACTTAAACCTTGTTTATTTGGCCCTTGTTAGCCTTTGAGTTTGACATGCTTGGTGTAGGCTAAACACACTGAGATGATGAAGAGCTACAAGAAGTGATTCCTGTACAAGTCAGAATAGTAGTTTCTTAGAGGGGAGGAATAAATGAAGCTTGGGGTGGACTTTGGAAGGAATTCTGGGGTGGCTAGAGAAGTTCCTCTATTATAACCTGGGAGGTAAAGATGTTGACCTAGCCGAAACCGGTTTGGCTCAGTGGATAGAGTGTTGGCCTGTGGACTGAAGGGTCCCAGGTTCGATTCCGGTCAAGGGCATGTACCTGGGTTGCGGGCACATCCCCAGTAGGAGATGTGCAAGAGGCAGCTGATCGATGTTTCTCTCTCATCGATGTTTCTGACTCTCTATCTCTCTCCCTCCCTCTCTGTAAAAAATCAATAAAATATATTAAAAATAAAAAAGATGTTGACCTAATAATCCTATATAATAAAAGGCTAATATGCAAATTGACCAAACAGCAGAACAACCGGTCACTATGACTCGCATTGACCACCAGGGGCAGACACTCGATGCAGGAGCTGCCCCCTAGTAATCAGTGCTCCTCCACAAAGGGAGCGCTGCTCAGCCAGAAGTCGGGCTCATGGCTGGCGAGCGCAGCAGTGATGGCAGGAGCTCTCCCCACTCCACAGCAGCGCTAAGGATGTCCAACTGACAGCTTAGACCTGCTCCCTAAGCCAGCAGTCGGACATCACCCAAGGGTTCCTGGGCTGCAAGAGGGTGCAGGCCGGGCTGAGGGGAACACCCCACCCCCCCAAGTGCACAAATTATGTGCACTGGGCCTCTAGTCACTTATAATAACTTAAGAAGCTATCCATTTGTTCAGTTGCTTTACCTATATTTTATTTTACAATAAAAAGGTTAAAAGATTTTGGAGATCATAAGGGCAAAAATCCTAAAGTTTAGCAAATTAATTTTCCAAAGTTTTAGACATAGACAACAACAAAGCAAGGATTTGAACCCTTGCGTGTCTCATTTCAAAACATAGGCTCTTTCTCCAACACCAATGCGCTTCCTGCCATAGAATATTTTGCTTCTAATTGGTAATTAATTTTCCATGTGTTTATACTGAAAAAGAATGACCGATTCTTGTGACGTCGGAAAGGCAATCCAAATATAAAGCAGAGGAATGTTTTTGTTTGTTGCAGTCATAAATTATTGCAACCAGAATGTAAGTCAGTTGATTGCTATAAGTATGGACAGCCACTGGATGTCAGCATTTCTCCAGGTATACAGAGGCAGTATGTGTGTTAGGGAAGAAAATTAAATGATAAAAAAAAAAATTAAAAAAAGATGGGTTTATTCTGCCTATTTTGGTAACAATTATTTTGCCTCAATAGTTTTTGAAAAACATTGCTTTCATTTTTAAAAAAAGAAATAATTTGCATGTTTAGCATCTCAAGTGTAATAGAAATGTGATGTCTTTTATTTTTGAATTGAGTGATAGTTCACATTAATGAATGGCTACAGAATATTTCCTTTCCTGTTGCGCACACCAAGTACTTTTCTAATACTTTACATGGATTAATTTGTTTGATCTTCAAATGACCCTAAGTGGTAGGTCCCATTCTTACCCACATTTCACAGATGGGAATACTGAGTTCACAGAGGTCAAGTAACTCGCCTAAGGTCACACAGATACTAGGTGGCAGGGCCCCAGCATTTTCATCCAAGCTGATCGAACCCAGGGCCTACGGCTGAGCCCTTGTGCGATGCTGCCCTTCACTAGCTCACATTGCCAGGATACTGTATCAGTGCTGCCATTGCCATCGAGATAAAGGAAGAGTTGAAAATAAAGACTAACTCTGATATTTAACCTTAGCAGATTTTTAAATATAAAATGGTTAGGTGTCAGACACGGGAACAAACCTAAGAACCATGCACATACGGAATCATTTGTATCAGATATTTCCTAGATAGTTATTCATCAGAAAGATTGGTAGGAGAGAGAGAAAGTAAAGAAATATGTATCTGTAACACTCAATTCTAAGGAGTAAGTCGGAGGAGGTGCGAGCAGTTGCTCGCTTAAGTGAAGTCCATTCATTCATTTAACATCCCCGGGTTGAACACCCACTATGAGTGAGGCTGTCTTCCTGACCCAGACAGACTGCATGCCGACCTTCCTGGAGCTTACATCGCAGAGGAATGGTCTGGAAGGTCTAATTAAAAGTGAATTTCCCTTAAAGTCATAGTTGCTAACATGTGCCTACCTATTGGTGTTAGTCTAAAACAGCCTGTATCTTCCAGATCAATGCACTAATACCGGTTTTTATTTTTTACTTGTTTCCCCCATTCATTTTAGAGAATCCTTGCTCATTAAAGCATTTGTGTCGGTTAAAAATCCGAAGAATTATGGGACTCCAGCGACTCTGCCAGCCCGCCTCCATAGAGAAGCTTCCTCTGCCACCAACCATTCAAAGATACATATTATTTAAAGAGTATGATCTCTACGGACAAGAGCTAAAGCTGCCATTTTAGAATGTGATTTTTAAAAATATTTCTTGGAATCATTTTACCTCCTTAACTGTGTTTAAGTCCATTGACAATTTTATAACAGGATCCTGTGTTCTTACGAGAACACCACATTTCACATCTTTAAAGACCTTAACATTGTGATTTTTTAAAATTTTAAGTATAGTTGATATACAATATGATATTGGTTATATTCGTTTCAGATACACAATATAGTGATTTGACATTTTTATACCTTATAATGCGATCATCCTATTAATTCTAGTAATCATCTGTCACTGTGAAAACAACACAATATTATTGCTATATTCCCCTTCCCCTTTTCACCCATCCCCCCAATCCCTCCCCTCTGACAACCATCTTTTGGGATACATTGTGATTCTTTTTTCATTTAATCTGTATTGCTGAAAGTATTACATAAGTCCTTTTCCCCCATTAAACATTGTGATTTTTTTAAGCAAGTCAATATTTTGTGTTTGACTCTCTGTTGATTTTCTTCTCTTGCAACAAGTCTTCAAACTCTCCCTATCAAGTGGCTCCTACAGTATCCATCAGCAAATCTCTCCTCTGTTTATAAAACAAACCAAAGACCCACTTTTTCAAGCCACAGCTTTAGCCCTTCCTCCCCTTTCTCTCGGGATCAAGCTGCATGAAGGAGCACCTTCCTGCCTGCGGATTCACACACTCTGTCTGGCTCCTGAGGGACCGCGGCCTTTCTTGGGGCCCTTGGCAAGTTCCTGCTGCGAAAGGCAATGAGCATTCTTCAGTCCTTCCCGCTGATTCCCGCAGCACCTGACACTGGCTGCCCCTCCTGGAAAAGGTCTTCGCATGGTTTCCACAACGCCTGGGCCTTCGTGCCTCGGCTCTCCTCCCCACCCGTGTGTTTCTGGCTTCTTTCTGCGTCGCTCGCCGCCTGCCAACCCTTTTGTAATATGTCTTAAGCCCTCTTCCCTTCTGGTGCTACAGTCCCTGGGGCATTGCATCCACGTTCACAGTTCCGAGGGCTGCCTGTGTGCTGTTGGCTACAAAATGCATATCTGAAGTTCACCTTCTCTCGTGTGCTTGAGACCTGTGTAGACCATTGCCCTGATGCAGGTGAACACAAAGACACCTCAAGTTCAACGTGTCACACATGAACTCACTACCTTCCTCGCCAAAGGTTCCTCTCCTATATTGTCTTGCTCAATGGTTAGTGCAATGATCACTTCCGTCTCCCAGGTCAAAAGCCTGGACATCAGCCTTGACCATCCCATCTTCCTTACCCAATGTAACAGATCACCAAATCCTGGTGTGTTTATCTCTTGAAATCATCTTCTCAGTCTCACTGGTTCGGCCCTAATTCCAGCTCTTAAATCCTGGTGTGTTTATCTCTTGAAATCATCTTCTTCTCAGTCTCACTCGTTCGGCCCTAATTCCAGCTCTTATGTCCACTGTCTGGGATCCTGTAGAACTGCCTCACGGGCCGTCCTTCCTGTTGTCTCACCCCATTTAACATGCATTCTACACACAACATCGCAGGATGATCTTTCACAAATGCAGGTAGAGTTGCACTCCCCTGCTTAAAATCATTCCCATTGCTCTTAGGATAAAGTTCAAAGTTCCTCATGATCTAATTTCCTGCCTTCCTCCTCAGTCTTATTTCTCGATGTCTCCCTCACCCCTCCCCTTCAACCATAGTAAACCACTTTTAAAAATGTATTCTTCGAGCAGTGATTTCCCAGACCTATGTGAAAACGACACATCAGTAGTTTTTGTTTTACTAGTTTAAAAATGGGGTCATTTATCTAAATATTCATAGAGGATCTCAGGCAGAGGGAGAAGGAAATGCAAATAGATTTGCATATGATCTACTATCGCTGTCATTTCATAAAAGAGCAGCCATTTTAGTGACAGAAAATAAGGCAGCCTTAAACTCAATGATTAAAATTGAATGACTTTAGCTTAGGAAAGACTTACCACACTGTCCTCATTTTCCTATTGATGGGTGAAAATTTCATTCTGGCCCAAAAGTATCTTAGGTTCTTTGTTATAGACCATGCTCTCTTACATCTCGGGAGTCTTTGCACTTTCTTTTCCTTCTATCTGGGATCCTCTTTCCATCTCCTTCCTCCTCTTCAATGACCTAAGTTGTCTTAGATCATCGAATTGCCTTAGACTACACGTTGGCAGAAAAAGGAGGTGTATGACACCAACGCGGATCCGGTAGAGACGAGCAGCCCTAAGACCAGACAGAAAGCTACCAGGCTTCAGCAGACATTAGACCATCACACCCCACTCTTTGAGCGAACTGAAGATTGGTTTGCAAGTCTATTTTCATAGATACCACAAGAGCTCGGGTCCATATTTGGAGGAACTTCTAAATTAGGCTTAATCATTCTTTTCCTTATAATGCTTGCCTGTGTTTTGAAGCTCTTTGTGACTTGTTTTCCCCTGTGCTAGAAAAATTGTATCTGCTGGGAGAAATGCATCTGCCTTTAGCTCACGTAATCTTGCTTTACAACGGGCGCAAGTGTTTCCCCTTATCCTGCAGGTCTCAGCATTGATGTTTCTCTTCTAGGGAGGGAGTCCCCAGCACAGCAATTCTCACGCTCTACTATAGGTGCCTGTGTTCTCCTCTGTCTGTCCCAATAGATAAGCTCTGTGAGGGCAGGGTCTATGTCTGCTTTGTCTTCCAGTGTTTTCTTAGGGCTACATACATTCCCTAAGGCACAGAGAGGGTTCAAACATCATTTGTTCAATATGTTGAATGAGTGAATGTTGTACGAGACCCAGACAAAAATAACCAATGACTTGTGGTAAATGATAGTTTTGACTCTCTGAATTGGGTACATAATATTAATAATGTAATTATTTAAATGTATTTTTCTTAGATTTTAATGTTTTTCTTCGATTTGTTTTTATCTTAAGAGTTACTGTACTCTTTCAATTGTAACGCCTCACTGGTTGTGAATTTTTCAAATTGCATTTAGCTTTAGGTAACTCTGAGATATAAATAGGTATAAAAATTACCTGTACAATTAGAGCTATAGTTGTATTCCCTAAAGAATATATTTTTATATAAATTAAACTGCAATGTATTTAATTAGAACTATAATGTTTTATGTATAAAATTTCACAATTCTGATGTTGCTCTCCTACTTGAGGCTAAAATGCACTGTTACCACTAAATAAATAAATCGTAACCATAAGCATACAAGTTTGCCATACGACTTCAGATATTAAATAAATAAACTAAAGCTTTGACATTTCCTTTAATGTATTTTTGCATAAATGCATTCAAGATACTCTAAATATTAAATAAATTCTAGTACACTAAAGCTTTGACATTTTATTTAATGTAGCTTATGTAAATATATTCAAGAAATTCATGAATATAAGTATATGAATTCACTGCACAGGTTTTTAAAAGGTTGTTTTTTTTTGGTGTCTGTGAAGTAGGAGAAAAATGTATTCTATGAAACAGAGGCAGTCACTGTGCCCCAGATGGATCTGATCTTTTTCTTATCACATCTGGCACTTCCCTAGCAGTGTTTTTTGTTCTTGAGTGGGCTGGGTGGTAAGGAGAATGAATTTCTACCTAATTAGGACTCTGTTTCTCTCAGAATATGTCACTATCTGGGAGAGGGCAACAGCTGCTCATCCCTGTGAGCCTTTGGAGAAGCCGAACATTCTATGGTGGTGCCTGTGTAACCACCGTGAAGTCGATGGGGCAGTGTTCTGAGGACATCCTTCCATGCTGCCATGATGTCACGGCCGTTTTGGTCGCTGTGGGTTCTATTTTGTATTCTACAGAAATCCTGGGGAGAAAGAAGCAGGTTTGACCTCTCAAGTGAGTGTGTTTTGTTTAGTTTTTCAGGAGGTGATCTTTAAATAGTATTTCCATTTCCAACCTAAGATAATTTCGTAAGTCCATTGAAAACAAGTGCCTCCTGAAGAGTACTGTTCACTCGTTTTCATTAGTCACAGTGCATGTTTCCAGGCACTAGGATGACAGTGCAGAAAATGTGAACATGATTGTGCCCAGCAAATATTCGTGGGTAGCACTCCCTCTCGATGCGTGCTATTGAAAAATCAATACATTATGGATCAGACAGCATGGGAACCACAAAAAAGATGAAGTGTTTTACATCACAGTGAACCACACTTAAGCTTTGTCTGGCCTTTTACCAGACATCCCTATCCAAATTTTGGTTTCAAGACACAACACTCATATATATTGTCACCTTCCAAATCAGAAATCATTTAGGACATATAAAAACTCTAAACTACTTCAAGTTATTTAAGGAAGAAAATGAAACGCTATATGTATATATCCATATTTGTATACACAGTACATATATATGACATCTATATAGCTAAAAGTCTAAGACCGAACAACCAGAATGACTGGAACGACCGGTTGACCAGTCGCTATGATGCACACTGACCACCAGGGGGCAGACACTCAAGGTAGGAGCTTCCCCCTGGTGGTTAGTGCACTCCCACAGCCAACCTTCTGCAGCCGGCCAACCGCCTGAGGCCCCTATATGCCCCCCCCCCCCCGCTGGCTGGCTGGCTGGCCCCCATAGGGACTGGGGGTGACACCCTGATTGGCCTCCAATCACTGGCCAGGCTGAGGGACCCTACCTGTGCACGAATTCATGGACTGGGCCTCTCATATATACAAATAATATATATATAGATACATGCATCATAGCATGGCATATTAGCTGTGCAATATAACGTAGTAGGTAAGAACATATACTTTGTAGCGAAACAGACATGAGTTTGAACCAGGTTCCACCAATTATTGTTTTTTAAATATATTTTTTATTGATTTCAAAGAGTAAGGGAGAGAGAGATAAGAACATCAATAATGAGAGAATCATTGAACGGCTGCCTCCTGCACACCCTCTACCAGGGACCGAGTCTGCAACCCAGGCATGTGCCCTTGACCAAAATCGAACCTGGGACCCTTCAGTCCACAGGCCGACGCTCTATCCACTGAGCCAAACAGGCTCGGGCAACTTATTTTAAAAAGAGACTCAGAGAGCTCTCCTTTGCCACTTGAGAACAGTGAGGAGACAGCTGTCTATGAGCCAGGCAGTGGCCCTCACCCAACACCCCATCTTCTCTCACCTTTAC